TTAGTGAATTTTTGGAGCATAAAACCTATATTATCAGATAACATGGCAAAATATTCATCAAATGATACCAAAATGTTTGAAAGTGAATTCTTTTGCTTGTGTCATTGAAATCTTTAAAACTATTTGCTTCACCACACTGCATGAAAGGAAATGAGGTAGTACTCTCCCGGCCCTCTCAAACTGAATTGGTGTTTGCTATGTGGCCAGTATTTTAAATGAGGATAAATAAGGAATCTAAACGCTAATCTTTCAATGAAAGAAATTATTGATGCAGCAATTAAAATACATATGTTGTTGTTAAGTGCCGTTGAGTCGGTTCTGATCCATTGTGACCTGGTATAGGATTTCTGAGGAGCAGCTGGTGTGCTTGAACCACCAACCTTTCAGTTCAAAGAGACTTTGCAGTCCACCTCATTAACCCACAGCACCACAACAGAAACCCAAAATATATATTAAACATGCTATTTGTTTATATAAATTTGGATATATATTTTTAATGTATAAAATTTGAGTTCAAAGAAATATATTGCAGAGGTCACTTGGCCACTTTCCTTCTCTTTCTTCTATGTTGTTGTTGTTGTTGTCATAAAGTCGGTTTCCAAGGAGTGGCTGGTGGGTTTGAACCACCAACCTTCTGATTAGAAGTCCAGTGTTACACTAGGACTTACTTCTCTTTCTATACTTGGGGGAAAAAAAAAACTTAACTGCAATATAAATTCTACAGTGTTAGCTGTTAAACTTCACCTTTGGGAAAGTTCCACTGCAAAGTACATTTTCAACAGATGTTTAATATACTGAGTAACTTTCAGCAATTCTGAACAGGACATGAATGAAAGATTCTGTTTTTCTGTAACCTGTTGATTCCCTGGAAATTTTAACATACCACTCAAAAATTAGATGAGTACCTGCCAGTCTTTCTTTGTATTCTATTTGGGATATAGTTTATAGATTATGGATTCCCTGTATAGCACAAATGATTAAGTTCTCAGCTGCTAACTGAAAGGTTGGAAGTTCAAGTCCACCCAAATGTACCTCAGAAGAAAGGCTTGAAAACTTTTTTCATCACTGAAAACTCAGTAGAGCACAGTTCCACTCTGACATACATGGGGTCACCATGCATCAGTGCAATTGGTTTGGGTTTCAGGATAAACTGGGATTGGTGGTGGGAGGGGTTCCCAAAGAAACTAGCTAGCCCAGTGAATACTATTCACATAAATAGCTATAAAAATATGGAGCCTTGGTAGGTCACTGAGCCCTAACCTCTTTATTGTGGCCACAACAACGACCATCTGTGCAGTGGACAATTTTCCTATTAGGTGTTGGTGATTTAACTAGCTGGCCAAAATTTGCTGTTGAAATTTGGCTTGAAATATTTCTTCTCTTTCAAGTTTTATTCATGTGCACTGGACACTGCAAAATGGTAGTGTTTAGTATTCAGCAACCCAAGGACAATGCAGCAATCACTTTTCTGTAGTAGTTTCTACATTCATTATAGAGGCTTGTGTAATATTTTTTAAATGCTTTGCCCAAAAAACATGTATTGCTGAAGTTTCTGTTAGCTACCTTGAAATTTGCCACTGTCTCATGGTGATCTCATGCACAATGAGATTAAACCATTGTGATCTATTTCTTCAATGAGAATTTTCTTCATTGGCTGATGTTTAGAAGTGGCTTGTCACGCCTTTCTTCTTAGTCTGCCTTAATCTAGAAGACCCCATTTTAACCTGTTCAGCATCCTAGCCACATCCAGTCCTCTACTGACTGGTGGGTGGTAACTGTGCTTGCGGTGAATTGACCAGGAATTGAGCTTACGAAAGTCAGGGTTGTACTCCTAGAAACCACAGTTCATGCAGAGCCTCCGCACATGTGTCAGTGGAGGCTTGAATATTACTGTGATGCTGGGCAGGTTTCAATGGAGTTTCCAGGTAGTGTTTCTTCAGCTGTTCATGGGGTTGCCATGAGTTGGGGTTGGACTTGAGAGCAGTCATCAACAACAATATCATTTCAAAAACAGTGGACTAAGTACTTGCAGGACATTGTATTAAATAAAGAGGTTTCAAAGATCCGTGGTAGTACAACAGCTAAAACCTTGACTTCTAACCTAGAGGACGGCAGTTCAAACCCGACTAGCAGCTATGAAAGAGAAGACCTAACTCTCATAAAAATTACAACTGAGAAAATGCTATGAGGTAGTTCTACTATGTCACATGGGATCACTATAAGCTGAAATCAACTGAAGAGCTACTAACACCACCACCACAGAGATTCCAACATTAAATGGCAAGATATACTATCTGCTTTCATGCTTTCATGGGATTTATGGCTGATTAGAGAAGACTGAAAACTAGACACTCAAAATCATATGCAGTGTTTCTGGTGGGACAGCAAAATGGTCCAACCTCTCTGGAACGCAATATGGCACTTCCTCAGAAGGTTGAAAATAGAAATAGCTTATGATCCAGCAATTCCTCTACTTGGTATTTACCCACAAGAAAAATAAGCCACAACACGAGAAGATACATGCATACCAATGTTCATAGCTGCACTATTTACAATAGCAAAAAGATGGAGACAGCCAAAGTGTCCATCAACTGAAGAATGGATAAACAAACTGTGGTACATACACACAATGGAATATTATGCTACCTTGAAAAATAACAAGGAAGCTGCAAGCCACCACCTAACATGGGTGAACCTTAAGGACATTATGTTGAGTGAAATTAGTCAGTCAAAGAAGGAGAAATACTGCATAGGACCATTACTGTAAAAGACTAAGAAAAAGAACCCATACTAATCCACTAAAGTGGATTCTTTGCTGGTTGCTGGGATGTAAGGGTGGGGTGAGGGGAGGGAGGGGAAGGTGGAACACAGGGCAAGGAATAGACACAGAGTAGTTTGGGTGCTGGGGAGGGGGGCAATATACAAGAAGGGAGAGGGAATGGAAGAACAAAGCAGATGGGAGAGCAATTAGGCAGGTTTGAATGGGCTAAATGGGACAGAGGTAAATAATGATGCATGCACAACCTTGGAACAACAGGGCTCTGGGATACAGAGATTGAGACATGGTTGGAATGGGGAAAAGGGGGGAATAATGTTAAGAAGCTTGGCCGTCTTTTGAATCTTGGTTTTCCTTTCATTATATCATAAAATAGACACTGGAGTGGGAGAGAAAGGAATAGCCAGAAACATCACCTTAGAAAGCTAGTAAATCCATCTTCTACCTATAACTGATTGGAATACCTAAAATGGGGCTACAACATGCCCAGTGAAGGAGGCTTCCTGCAGAGCCTCTGCAATACATAAGACTATAGGTGGAAACCTGAACCACATCCAGATCTCCATAGATGGGAAATTTCCACTTGAAAGGACAAGCAGACCAGCCTGGAGTGGCTAGAAGAACAGAAGATACTTCTTGAAACAAAGACCTACAGGCAAAATACAAAACAATAGAGGCAGACAGACTGTTACTACAAGAACAAGCAAGTTGCTTTCCCAAGAGACATCAAGGCAAGTGGTTGGGTGCCCTCAGTGCAAACCCCCTTCCAAGATTAACACTCAATGGGAATACATGCTCTGATTGGTGACCACATTCATCACCCATAAGGGGAAGTGAGGGAAAAACAGCAATGAAGCAGCGAGATAAGCCCTACAATGTTCAATAGACTCCTGTGAACCCTGGTGGAAACCTGGTTGGCCAGCAGTGTTGTAAGACCTGGGGACTCTTGGGCCCAGAGTCAGTGACACAGTCACAGAGGACTAGAGTGGAGAGTGAAGCATCCAGCTGATAAGAACAGAGGGGATATGTGCAAGAACACCTACACTTGCAGATAATACCCCCTTGACTTGGCTTCAATGACTGGATGATCAAAGCTCAACCGGAAGAAGAAAGAAGAGAAAAAAAAGCGTAGTCTGATACAATTTGATGAACTTTACCTACACCTATGGATGCCAAGAGGGAACAAATCCTTACTGCAAGAATCATTCCCACCCCCTCCACACACAGAGTAGACAGGGATGGGCAACTTGGGCATTGGCTACCCAAAATGCGGGGGGCACTACAAAGGCAAGAAGTGACTGGCTTACAAGCTTTCAAGAGGGAACCTAGATCCAGAGGGCCTGGAGGAAGGTAGAATCTCCAGTGAGTAGTATTCAATCTGTCTAGGCAGGGCTGATGAAATGAAATGCAGATAGGTCTCTTGTGATACAATAGTGAATAATTGTTATCAGGACTGATTGTGTGTTGGAAATGTCAAGGTAGACCTTTTGTAGCAAAGAGGGGCGTGATTAACGTTTCAGTCTAGGAGCGGAGGTCCCTAGGACCATCAATGGAGAAGAGTGGATAGCAGGACCCTACCCAGAGAAGCAGTGATGCCTGAAATGGAGGCAGAGACAATGACGTGGAGAGATGGAGCAGCTGGGGACTTGAGATCCAGAGAGGGAGAGGAACTGTGTGTTGATGAACGGTGGGGGTGTGGGGGGGGCAGGCTTGCAGGGTATACCTTTTGGTTGGTTGATGATGCATGGAGGGATTGTAACCATAGCAATGAAATGATATATGATAGAATGAATGTAAAACTAATGTTCTCCCATGTAAACTATCACAGAATTCACAATAAAACATTTATATAAAAAAAAAACAACAACTCATATGCAGTGAAGGCTATGACATAATTCCACAGTTCCCTCACAAAATCTCAATTCTAAATAAGGACTTCTTTCTGCTTATCATTGAACATATGTGATCCAGATGAATTATTGGGAGCATTAGCTCCTTAGTTTAATTTTACAGTTTTCATCTAGATGTTTCCCAGTAACAACTAGTCTACCAACTGCATGGCAGCTTTAATTTCACCAAGGGTGAAGTCTCTCTCTGGATAAGAAAACAGTTTAAATGAACATATTTCCACACTTGGGAAAAGAAACGAAGTGCTAGCATAATTGTCACAGAAACGCAGAAATGCAAAATCACCCATTATTTGCACATCCTATTCTCTCCTCAGGACATCTACTTGGCCTCTCCCATGATGATTCCAAATTCTGTGAAGAGAACTTTGGATCCACAGAAGATAAACGCTTAATGTCTTCCATCCTAACCAGCATTGATGCTTCCAAACCCTGGTCCAAATGCACGTCAGCCACCATCACAGAATTCCTGGATGATGGCCATGGTATGTATCATTAAGAACAACAGAAACTCACAAACAAACCTAGAGATTAGTGCATGTTTTGCTTCATTATATCCTCATAATGTTTCACTTACCCTCCAAGACATTGGTTGTTTGACTAGTGCCAAGAAAAGGGGTCAGGGGAATATGTCTAATGGTGTGTAATGCCAGCGTCCTTGGTGGCATTACAACTATCGTATTTTTGCTTTTGAATTTAAAATTTCAAAGAAACAGTGTGGGAGACCACACAGAATGCCTAGCCAGTGCCCTGAAAGTCTGGCTTTTATTCCCTAATTCACCACTGCTTCCTGTGAGAACTTTGGCAGACATCTTGGTTTCCTTACTATTAATATGACTCTCAGAATTATTTGTTACATGTCTATTATAGGGGTATGGTTAAGATGTAGGTGAAAATTCTGTCAAGATCTCTTTATGGCAAAATAAAGTCAGGAAAGGAAGGCCTGTCTAAATTCACATCGATAAGGAGAATTTGGTTTTATCCTGACAGCAGGCTCTTCTGAAAGTGGAGTAAAAAATGCAGAACAGAAATATAAAAGCAATTTGAATGAAGGCAAAACATTTTAAGAGCTTCAAAAGAAAATCTGTGGCTTTATCCTTTAGATACAATTCAAAACCAAAGCATACTTCATTAATTAATTCTACCCATGTAAGATTATTGATGTAAATTATATTTAAAACAACAAGAAAGTCACAACTTTTAGAAATGATAAATTCTGACGAGTAAATAAGCTTTGAAACAAGCTATTGAAAATTCTAAGAATTTAGAATAGTAGAAACAGAAAGATGGATCCTTAGTATTAGAAGAAACCTTCAGAGACCAAGTACTTGCAGTCTCTCATTTATAGAAATGAACCTATTTCTGCTCTTTTATCTTTTCTTTTTAAATACTTGCCTTGTTTTGAAAGTGGTGGTTCACTTGAAAACAATACCAATTCTTGATCATACGAGTTTGCACCTATATCGCATAATGTATGATTCAAAATTGAATAAAAATAATTTATGATTGTGCTGTTTTTCCCAATTCCACAAAAATTGTGACTAGATGCTTTCATAATTTCTGTGTGAGCTAGCCATCTTGAGCTTTGGTCACATATTGTTAGAACAATTAATAAACATCGCTGGCAAAAATATTCCAACTACCTAGTTTTTTGGCATCATGTAGCCAAAATGAGTTCAAGAACTCACTTTTGCTATATTACCAGTGAACCGATTATGTTTTGATTACTTGCTACAATTTAAATTTCCTATCCTGAAGACAAATCAGGTCTCCCTTGATTTAAAATTACCCTCATTGCCAAAAAAATATATTTTTTAGTTGAAGTGGTGGTCCAGTATCTCAAAACTTATAGCCAATATTAATAATCAATATATTCAACTTTATGACTAATAATAATGTGATAATTTTCTGTTTAGTTTATAAAAACTCTGACTAAATACTGATAAAGTTCTAAAATGAATATTTACTTACTGGCCTATCAACATTGATCAGTTCAATATCTAACTACTAAAGCCTGTTTGGGTGGACTATTAGCCTCCAATCTTCATATGAATTTTTGCTATTTTTTTCAGCTTTTCTGAAAATGAAATAACATTAATATTTTATTTCAAAACTGCATATTACATATTCCAAAAGGTTGAGCTAAACTTTGAATCACTAAATGAATGGATTTAGTTGCTAAGGCAGCAAATACTTAAGGCTAAAATGGAACCATATTATTTTTTTTCCTGTACAAGTATTACGTCAGCTAATTACAACGCTGTACGGAATTTTGTTCCTTATTGCATAATTTTGGAATGATTCATTTATTTCATGTTTGTGGAATTTGTGATCTTACTTTCTGGGCAGTAAATATGTTCTCCGCGTTGTCTTTATTTTATTTTATTTTTTTAGCATTATCTCTATATTTAAGAGTCACCACTCTGATTTTATTTTAGCATTACAACAAAATTGTGCATCTTGTACATCTCTAATGTCTCTGCTGACTCATGATAGATAGCAACCAAGAATATAATTTTAGTAAAAATAAATCCTTTTCATTTGCATAGATAAAATCTATCTGAACTACCTGTGTAATTAACAAATACATAAATTCAGTTACCAAGATTCTCTGGATAGAAATTCTTATGGTTTTTTATTTTGTTGACATAAATTGTCAAATCTTGATTTTCTCTTATTTTTTAATATGTTGATCAAGTAGTCCATTTATTTATTTATTTTTAAATTTTAGTGAGAAAATTAATTTATCAGTAGCCTGAAAAAAAAAAAAAAGTAATTTCAGAGTAATGAAAACCAAAAAAGACTATTTGGTGAAATGTTAAAACCCAATTATGTTTCATTTTAAATAGCATACATACACAGATACAGAATTGAAACAGTGGTACTCTCCTAGACATTATTATTTGAATTTGAATTCAAATAACTTAAATAACATTTAGATGACCAAAACTTAACTTAATTTAAAATGAAAATGTGACCATAGGAACTAATAAATTCAATTTTGACTTAGTGAATGTTCTGACATTTCAACATCAGACCAAGTCCAAGCTGAGGAAAAGTCAAACAAACACATGAGAGGTCTTCAAAAAGATCATGAAAAAATGGAATTAAAAGATAATTTTTTTCATTAATTTTTGAATCCCCCTCATATAAATTAAATACACTTTTGTGACAAAATCAAACAGATATTATAATACCACATCACAAAGCCTTTGCACTCAATTCATAGTGAGTTCCTTAGGCTTTCATTCAGAGCCCATTTATTTATATTAATATTCATTATCAAAATCAAATATTTTATTATTCTAGGCCACTGAAAACTTTAAACAGTAAAATAGACATTTGGGGAGATGTTTCAGATAGGTAAACTGAGTACAAGAAGAGAAATCATTTGACAGTAAGGAGGAAATCAGGATGACTAGAAAATTTAGTCCTACAACATAAAAAGCACAGTGGTCTGCTACCCCTTACCAAAAACCATATCACATCTGCATAGTCCCTGACGTTTCCTCTGACTTTCAGCATGATAGAATTATCAATACTCATAAAAAATGATTTTCAGTCATTTACAAAAGATTAAAAAGTGACACTAATGTAAAAACAGCCAAGAAAATGTTATTTTCAAGTATATAGTCTCACAAAAATATATGCAATTTTAAATGGTTCTTAAAAGAGTATATTATCTTGGAAACGTATTTATGTGTAATATCTCATCCTTTTCCTTCCTGCCCCTAGTGTTGCTGGAGAAATGAGGTCTCATGCTAAAATTTTATTCACACATTTGATTTATTTTTTTTAAATTATTACCTATAAGTGGTTGGGTCCTTGTAACACTCAATTATTTCCAAATTTAGATGAACTAATACTGAATATGGGCTGCTGGTGTGGTGCTGTAGGATCAGCACTGGACTGAAACCACAGGTCTGCAGTTCAAACCCACCAGCTTCTCTTCGGAAACCCTACACAGAGTCACTATGAGTCAGAACTGATCAGACAATACTTCACAACAGCAATACTGAATATTTCCTCATTTGTTCCAACAAGAAACACATAGCAATGAGGTTATGGCTGAAAAGTCAGTGTGCACATCCAAAAATCATGGGGCTTGCAGATTTGTGATTCAGAAAAGGTGAAGCTATATCTCATGGTAACCTCCACCTGGCCAAGATACTTGTAGACATTCTGCAGTGTTTATACAAGTTAGCTGTAGGCAAGCTGGCTAAGGAGTATGATCCTGGGAAATAAAGATAAGCAATGGCAGAGAAATTGTGCTGTGAACGCAGATTATCACGTTTCTTTTTTCAAATGTGTAATAACGTTGAAGCCAAAAGACATAGCTGTGCTGACTGTATCATTAAGCCCACAATGTCAGGCAATGAGAAAGGCTGCCATCTATGTAGGTACAACTCAAGAACACTCAAGCTGCTCCAGAAATCTGATAGCTTTGAAAATTAACATATAGCTAAGCCTCTTACCGACCAAAGAACTTTGTAGTTAAAATGGTATTCGAAAACCAATTTTCTGAATCTATAAAGCTAACAGAAAAATCTTAACATTCAATTTTTAAGAAAATGCCCCAAATAATTAAAGTCCAATATGTCAGTATCTTGATTTTCACAGTAGATATGTTACTTAATATGGAATAAAAATTGAAATGTTTCAAGAAAGTGAGGGGCACAAGAGGCACTCACTCATCTCTGCCAAGAAATTTGGAAGACAACTATCTGGCCTACTGATTGGAAGAGATCCATATTTGTGCCCATTCAAAGAGAGGTGACCTAACGGAATGCAGAAATCATCAGACAATCTCTTTGATATCCCATGTGAGTAAAGTTTTGCTAAAGGTAATACAGAAACAGCTACAATCATACATTGACAGAGATTCAAGCCAGATTCAGAAGAGCCTGTGGAATGAGGGATATCATTGCTGATGTCCAACGGATCTTGGCTGAAAGCAGAGAATATCAGAAACATGTTTACCTGTGCTTTATTGACTACACAAAGGCTTTCGATTGTGTGGATCCTGACAAGCTATGGACAACATTGAGAAGTATGAGTATTCTGGAATACTTCGTTGTGCTTGTGAGGAATATGTATCTGGACCAAGAGGCAGTTGTTCAAACAGACCATGGAACACTGAATGTTTTAAAATTTAAAAAGGTGTGCCACAAGGTTGCATTCTTTCACCATACTTATTCAACCTGTATGCTGAGCAAATAATCCGAGAAGCTGGGTTCTATGAAGAAAAATGTGGCATCAGAATTGGGGGAAGACTCATTAACAACCTGTGATATGCAGATGATACAACCTTGCTTGCTGAAAGTGAAGAGGACTTAAAACAATAATGATGAAGATCAAAGAGCACAGCCTTTGGTGTGGATTACATCTCAATGTAAAGAAAACAAAAATCCTCACCACTGGACCAATAAACAACATTCTTATCAACGGAGAAAAGATTGAAGTTGTCAAGGACTTCATTCTTCTT